GTTGGGGGAACCAGGTGGTGGGTATTAGAGAGGGCACGGATTGCATGGAGCACTGGGTGCGGTGCAAAAACAATGAACACTGTTATGCTGAAAAGAAGTAAAAAATTTAAAAATTTAAAAAAAAAGAAAGAAAACTATTGAAGTATTTAAAAGAAAAAAAATGGGGGAAATGTCGAGGGGGAAGCCTTCCTACAATTCAGACACTATAAATGAGAAATAGCAGATTTCATCACATAAAATAAAAAATTATGGGGTGCCTGGGTGGCTTAGTGGGTTAAGCCTCTGCCTTCAGTTCAGGTCATGTTCTCAGGGTCCTGAGATCGAGCCCCGCATCGGGCTCTCTGATCAGCAGAAAGCCTGCTTCCCCCTCTCTCTCAGCCTGCCTCTCTGCCTACTTGTGATCTCTCTGTCAAATAAATAAATAAAATCTTTAAAAAAAAATAAAAAATTACAAATGAAACACTATAAATCTGAATCACACCGACGGGTAGGGAGCATGTGATAAAGGATTATCATCCAGAGTATATATAAATCAGAATGAAAAAGAAAAAGACCCAATAGAAAGGTGCACAAAAGAAAGAATGGGTTATTCAGAAAACAAACACAAATAAACAAAGAACAATATAGACAGAAAACTCTGTAATGGTCAGTAATATTACAAATTAAAGCAAAAAGACATTTTTCCCCCAATTAGAAAAAAATCTCAAAGACTAACTATATCAAGTACCACTAAAGGAATGGGGTCACAGGTATTATTATATATTAGTATGTAAGTTCAAATGCTACAGTCTTTCTGGAGAGCAACTGGCATACCTATTCAAAGCAAATCCTCCACATCTGCATATGGGCAGAGAGATGTTAATTATGAGCAAAACAACCTAATGTTCATCAACTGGAGTATGGTTACATAAAATATAGTACATCTATTTATTCAGAATGATAGTTCTGTCATTACCCTATCATGGGAATACTGCCAACATGAATCATTAAAAGATAAAAGTGCTAGAAAAAAACCATATAAATAAGATTATAAATATTTTTTAAAAACAATGCATTTGTTCTTATAAATAAAATCTTATAACTGTAAAAAAACTGATCTGAAACAATGCACACAAAACTGTTAACCAATTACTCTTGTGAATGGGGATGTCTGATTAAAAAAAAATTTTTATACCTGATTTTTATTTTATATACTTCTAAATTTATTTTTTAAACCACAAAGAATTCACATATTACCAAAGAAATAAAATATGTTATATGCTTATTTTTAGATAGTATAATTGGCTTATTCAATAAGATGGCTCTTTGAATTGCTGTTGCCAGTTACACTTGCTTTGGGTCTCTCCTTTCACCATCATCTGGCTGGACTAGATGACATCTGGTGGTGAGATACAGATTTGAATTTAGTTTTATGCTTAGTATCACTTGTTTCTGAGTGTACACATTTTAAAATTAAAAATCTCAAATACAAACAAATAAACAAAATAAAACACTGAGCCAAACAAAAAAACACCTTAGTGTTATAGCAGATTCTGGGGCCAGAAAATAAACTAAACCTAAGAATTCATCTTTTAGTTTATGATTCCTCTAGGTAGGCATAAAAACTTACAAAGGCATGGAACTCAATTTGTAAAGACCATTGGTCAAGTTCCATAAATACTCTACTGGTAATGAAGAGAAAAATCCAACCATATTTTTGTCTTTAGGAAAAGTTTATCATTATTTTTTACTTTTACATATAGCACTCAAGTAGCTAACAACCTCTGATTTCGTATTTGTTTGGCTGCAAAAAAAAAAAAATTAATTTGAAAGCAAATCTGTAAGAGGACAAAGGAACATAAATGTTTACATATTTGTTCAGTATCTACAACTTGTGGAGGGAAACAGCTTATGCTTCTTTCACAGTAACAGAGAAGTTATCAATCTGATAAACAGCAAAATATCTATAAGCAGAAAAAACTAAACGTAACTCCCTTAAAAGATATATAGGCTAAAAAAATACACTGTCTTATAGGATAATAATAAATTAGTACTTGAGGACACTTAAACTCTTTGGAATAAGCCCACTTAATCTTTCTTTTATACTAATAAGTATCCAGCCAGAATAATCAAAAGAGTCTCAATGCAATACACAATATAAATATAGAGCAGAATTTATATAAGTTAACATTTTAATAGCTCCTGAGCACTGACAGCAATTATATTTCTAAATAAGGCAATTATATACAAATATTAATATTTCTGCCATTTATAAGAAATAATGTCAAGACAATCCCATCATTTTACATTTCATCAGTACGCATCAATTTCTACAGTTAACAAAAAAGGTTCAAATTTAAACTTACTCTGTAGCCATAAACAACGCTTGTATAACACTGTTCATATAACATGTATTTCCTAGATTAATAAGACCAGTTTTCCCAGTTTCAGATTTTCCAGAAAGTCTAGACAAGCAAGAGGCCAAAGAATTGGATTGAGAAGTCCAGGCACTTTGACTGAGAATCAATTTGATCTTCTCTTCACTGGGCTTAGGAAAATCCTGTAGAACACCAAGAAGAAAAAAGCTTAAAAATATAAACTATTTTTGTTACTAAATTAACACCATAAAGAAGATTCTTCCACTGACATTTAACTTTTCTTTTCCTCCACTTAGTTTTGAAATCACCCCTAATACTTGACCAAAATACTTGGCAAAAATAATTGTCTCCTAAAATAAATAACTACATCCTAAAAGTAGAGTTTATCAAGTGAAGAAATATTCAAGAACCAGGAATTCAAGTCACATTTGAACTATTTATGTTCCAATGTGCCAGCAAAATGTTTCAGAATAAAACTCTGAGACAAGAGAGTATACTGCAGTGCTACTCAAAGACATCAGAATGAGGACTTAAATTAGCACACAACTGAATAGCATAGACAATTTGCTTTCAAATTTTCTAGTGAAAGTAAAAAATATCTCCTTTTCATTCACTACTACTATTTACTCAATATTAACCCTTAGAAATAAAAGCTCAAAGTAATCAGGATACGAAAAATGAAAGCACCTAAGCACAATGACTTCTGACTTCAAAAAATTAAACTCAATCTCCTGTTTAACAATATAATTATTATAAGATATAGATTCTTTTATTTGCTCTACGATACTTGAGATACAATTATTTATTTATTTATTTAAAAGACTTTTTTTTTTTTTTATTTGAGAGAAAGAAAGAGAAGGCAAAAACAGGGGGAAGGGCAGAGGGAGAGGGAGAAGCAATGAGCAGGGACCCCAACGCGGGGCTGGATCTCAGGACTTTGGGATCATGATTTGAGCAGAAGGCAGATGCTTAACAGACTGAGCCACCCAGATGCCCCACGATACAATTTTAAATCTAAGTGATTTCAAGCATGAATGGAGCAATGCAGAATAATGAAAGTTGGTAACATCATTAAGACTATTTTTGGACTGATATTATCATCAGTCCTTTCTGAGGTACTTAGACCTCAGAAAACATTTTCTGAAGGAATTTTAATCTCTTTAATTCTCTTGTTGTTGACAGCTAATAGAACAGTGTTGCCCTTGGATTGAGAGTGAGAACCTTGCTTCTTCTGAGCCTATTTCAGTTATCAGAATTCTCAACACATAAAGCACTGAAAAAGGCAATTAACAGCAAGAGATTTCATCTATGGACACAGAGTGACACTGCAGAAAGAGATTAACATTACTATTAAATCCATGAAAAAATGCTCCTGTACATAAAAACATTTACTTTTTTTTTTTTTTTTTAAGATTTTATTTATTTATTTGACAGAGATCACAAGTAGGCAGAGAGACAGGCAGAGGGGGAAGAGGAAGCGGGCTCCCTGCTGAGCAGAGAGCCTGGTGCGGGCCTCGATCCCAGGACCCTGAAATCATGACCAGAGCCGAAGACCCAGGCTTAACCCACTGAGCCACCCAGGAGCCCCAAAACATCTACTTTTGAAGTGTCAAATGTAACACTAGTGGGATACTTAGTGGAATACCATGTTCAACAGTCTTGTTTTATATTCAACCAAAATCAGTTTGATTTAGCTAGAGCTATATAGTAAAAAAATGTCTTCATTTCAGATACAGAAGAAGTAATAAAGATAATGAGGCTTATCTTGTATTTCAGCATAAAAAGGAACATTATTAATAGAACTGATTTCTAATAACTTCTCATTAGGTCTGCCTGAGGCACATTTTCCAATTCTTTTGCAATACTCTGATTATGTAGTAAATTTAAGAGTGAAGTATGTCTAGGTGTGACTGATTCTTTAAGACAAATAGAATCAGTGCTTTTTAGGTCTACTATTTACACAAAGTTGAAAAACAGGGTGAGTTCACAAAGAACTCAAGCAAAGATTCTATAAAATATGGATATCCATGAATAGTCCACAACAAAAATGGAATAAAAGTAAGTAAGGAAACAAAGTCAAATATTTTGTTAAACTGTCTTTTCTTGATTCTAAGATGTTCTTAAATATTTTAACACTACTACAGGAGGCTGGGTGGCTCAGTCCATTAGTTAAGTGTCTGCCTTTGTCTCAGATCATGATCCAGGAGTCCTGGAATCAAGCCCCATGTTGGGCTACCTGCTCAGCAGGGAGTCTGCTTCTCCCTCTCTTTCTGCCTGTCCCCCTGCTCATGCTTTCTCTCTCTCACAAATAAAATCTTTAAAAAAATATTTTAACAATTCTGATATTAGATATTGTATGGATTCACTTAATGTAGCATTTAATTTTAAACAAATTTCCCCAACAGCTGTTATAAATTTAAAGATATGCCTTATAACTGATGGCATTGTAGAACTGAAGAAATATGGTTATTAATTTAGTTATAGCAAATAAGAAAGAGATTACTCCCTAAATATTAATGAACCCTCATTCTAATTACATTTTTCAAATAAAAAGCACATTACCACAGAATAGTAAATTGAGTATCTAGTTATAGAAATGTTTCACTACATTCATCTATCACATCATAGTTTGCAGCTGAACAAATATTGGTGCAACTACCATCATACCTTTATTGCTTCCAAAATAGGTTCGTAGAGATCTGGAAATCCAGAATAATGATACATCATACAGTGTATCAGTTCTGTTAACTGCACTAAGAAGGCTGTACTGGAAGGCAGACCATCACTTTTGAAGGAGTGAACCAAACTAACTACGTGAGGAACAATCTGAAGAGAAAAAAGACAAACATTCCTCTAATATACAAATGGGCAACAAATTCTCTAGCCTACAAATGGAATGCAAATGTTACATGATCAGCAAGTACTTTTCTGTAAGTTCAGTCACAGTCTTTTTCTAAAAAAGTTATGAATTTAAAATTTCTAGAATATCAAGGTAAATCAAATTTTCAAAGTCACATATAATTTTAATTCCATATAAGACCCATCTCCTTATCCTTATACTCCACCTAAAACACAAACTAAGGTACAAAATAGAAGTCCTAGTCACTTCTGCCATTCTGAAAAATGCTAGGCTGAAAAACGTTAGGACTATTTTATTTACCAGATTGTTCAATAGGAAAAAACTTTTTAAAAATATAAACCTAGAATTAGCTTAAGAGCTCCATCTAGTGTGAAGTTTAGATTTTTCACTTGAAAGAATTAAACACAGTACATTGCACATTAAAGTCTACTTCAAGAAAGTAACTAACTTAACTGAAATTACAGTTCGGCTCTTTTAGGTAAGTATGGAGAAGATACAGAGAAGATGTCTTATGTTAGCATGGTTATTCTTTTTAACAACTCCATTTCCCCACCTCCAAAAAGAGGAGATGGTTCTAAAGAATAAATGGAATCAAAAATTTCTATTACTTTTAAGAAACTGGAATTAAAATGGAAATCTAAAATGCTCATTGTTCAAAAACATGCAGAAAACTTAGTACTTTGATAATAAGCACAACAGTGTGCTTTCATTACAAAATTAAAGTCAATACAGGGTCATCACATATTCAAGAGGTTATTAACAACATGAACTCGGTTTTGCAGAAATGGCTCTTTCCATTAGTGCAGTGATATCTTTGTTCCAATTAATTATTAATCATTAGTCTAATAATTAATAATTAATAATAATTAATCTAATAATACTCGCTTGTACTTCACATGTAAAAGGTCTCTAATAATATTACGTTCTATTTGTAGAACATTTTTTTGGTTGTTAACTTGTGATAAAAGTGAAGTTATGGCTCTATCGTCTTATCACTAAATGGCAATAACAACAATTATAGTAGCATCATAATCAACTCCCTTTCCTTCCTCCTAAAAGGAACAATCACATTCTTTTTTTTTTTAGAGATTTTATTTATTTCTTTGACAGACAGAGATCACAAGTAGGCAGAAAAGCAGGCAGAGACAGAAGAGGAAGCAGGTTTCCCGCTGAGCAGAGAGCCCGATGCAGGGCTCGATCCCAGGACCACCAGAGCCAAAGGCAAAGGCTTTAACCCACTGAGCCACCCAGGCGCCCCAGGAACAATCATATTCTTAAATTAACAGTGCTACTCTCATTTTGCTCTGATTCTATGCCTGAGGTCTCAAAATCGCTTTTTAACTTTTGCACAACCTTCTTTGATCTTACCTCCATCATCATGAAACCATCAGTTCCTAATGAGTTCACTGTATTGCTTTCATCTCTCATTTCTAAACAAAGCTGAATTATAATTTTGCTTCATATAGCTATATCTATCAGATAGTCTCTTGCTAAAATAGCAGAAATCCAAAATTATTTTGCTTCCTCACAGGTGAAAAGAGAGAGAAGTGAAAGAGAAGAGAAAATAATTTTTAAAAAATGATTATTTAATTTACAACTCTAAATCTTCCAAAAGCCTTCCTAGTGTAGATTTGGTCTTTGCAATCAGGTAATATAGTTGTCTACTATTATATCTTGTATGGTCAAAATTATCACTGACATAGAAATGAGACTAAGTTCTTCACAGGTATATAAATACATGTCCAAGCAGGCTATTACATTCTAACTGCTTGAAAGTTGCTTTTTTTTGAGTGAGTAAATCTAAATATTTGTGGACATTACTGTAATACTCACAAAACTTAAGTTACCATTTGAGAAAATGTGTATGACTTATTAGAAACTTTGATATTTTTCTTTGGTTTAAAATAAATTTCTTCCTACTTATAAAAAGCATTTGAAAAGGAATTTGGTCTATAATAATATATATTATAACATCAATCTTAATTTGCTCTAAAATGCTATGAATAATGATGTTGGTGATTCCAAGTTATTGCTCGCATTTAACACCTTCTAAGCCTACATCCTTTACTGAGTTAGAGTAATACTGATTTAACTACTACATGACCATTAGATGCCCAAGTTCATTTTAGTTGAGTAGCCAGTCAGGCTACATACAGTATATAGGCAATAATTAGATCTTAGTTTTTAGAATTTACTAAGCCAGATGACAATTTTCAATTTCAGATCTAACTAAACTTTAAATAAATGATTTCATATCAATAGTTCAATAAGCCAAATATTTCAAATATTTCAAAGTCAACCATTTTTATTTCAACTATGTTTTTCAGAAAAAGAAGTAATACAACATATGGAGATATCTTCCATCAACTGGGAGCCAAAAAATAGGTTTAGAGTATGGCATAAGTGACAAATCAGATTAAGAAATGTCATCAGTGAGAAGAGCAGTAAACATTAGAATGGATGAGTAAGTCTTATTAAAGAATCTCCTTCTCAGAAAATCTGAAAATAAACCTTTTCTCAACTGGCCTACACATGATTATGCCTGAAGACAGACACAAATAATTGATGTTCTTTACCTTGTTAGACTTAGCTAGTACACATGCTATCTTAGCTTGAGTTCTGAGTTTTGTTTATGTAACAAACCAATATCAGGTTATTGGTTGATGCATCAATTATGAAATTAATTGTAGAAATTCTCAGAAAAACCCATTCGAAGTGACAATGGATGATATAATTACTTGTTGATAAGGATTACTTTCTATAAAGCCTGCAGATTTTCCTTCAGTGGCAGTGAGGCACTAAGCAGCCTAAGTATGTACATGGTTCTTTGAGGCTAGTTTTATTTTTAGCTAATAATCAACAACTGGAATTCAGGACTTCTTCATCAGTCTCCCTTGAATTTGCTTGTATTGGGTCAGCATTCCTAAGATATTTATATTGTGGGTGTACTAGTAATAAGATTCAAGTCCTGTAAAACTGGGGACCAGACCCTAAAAGAAGCAAATAACCATATAAAGCACTGCTTTCCTGCGATGCACTAGACAGATAAATGGACAGATTCTCAAAATAACATTTTGTCATTTCCACCTGTAATGACTGATAATCAAAGAACTGAAATCAAATCAAATCAAAACCAGTGATATAGCTCATTAAATGGTAGGGTTCTGGATGTATTTTAAAGGTGGAGTTAACTGGATTTATAGGTTATGGGTTGGGAGAGAATGACATCTCAATTCTGGGACTATAAAACAACATCTAATGTTTTCACATTTCTGAAATTCTAAAGCATTTTTCTTCTACATTGTTCCTATGTGCAAGAGACAACCATCAGTGATGCTGACATGTAACATCTCTCATGTAGAGCAATAATATTTAACTGCTGGTAGTGGTTCCAAGTGCAGCAGTTTTCGTGAGACTCAAAACATTTTGAAAATATATTTTTTGGGGGCGCCTGGGTGGCTCAGTGGGTTAAAGCCTCTGCCTTCGGCTCAGGTCATGATCCAGGGTCCTGGGATCGAGCCCCACATCGGGCTCTCTGCTCAGCGGGGAGCCTGCTTCCTCCTCTCTCTCTCTCTCTCTCTCTCTCTCTCTCTGCCTGCCTCTCTGCCTACTTGTGATCTCTGTCTGTTAAATAAATAAATAAAATCTTTAAAAAAAAAAAAAGAAAAGAAAATATATTTTTTGGAGGGAAAACCCACAATCTCAATTTTCTAAGAAATCATAAAGCTACAAGAAAATAGATTCAGGACTAACTTATAATCTTTTTCACTATATATAAATGTGACTCCATTAAACTAAAATTTTAACACAAAGTTTTTCAGTGCAGAAAGCTTGTGTCCTAACTTACCAGATGGAACGCCTCTGGAGAATGCTGAAAACTGAGCAGCATGTGAGAAAGAACTGCAAGAGCACCAGGTCTCACAAGAGGAAACCAAAGTCGATTAAAAACCTTCAAAAAAGAGAAGACATCCACCTTAGAGGAGTTTGTAGGGAAATCATTAACTCAATCAGTGGCTATTTTCCTTGGACCAAAAATATTTATGTGACTATCTCCCTTCCTGGAAAGTTCTATCATAACATGTCACTTTGGGAGAGAAAGTTGGGAAATAACAACATAACAGAGATCAAGAAAATATAGTGGTCTAAAAAACTCTTAAAACCCCTTGATCAAATATAAATCTGTCAAGCTTTATCTACAAAGTGATTGTTCCTTGGCCCACACTTCATTCAATTTCATTCAACAAACATTGATTGAGTATCTACTATTGCTTGGCATTGTTCTAGGCACTGAGGATACAACAGTGGATTAAAAAAAAATTCCCAATTTGATAGGGCTTACTGTCTCTAGGGTAGGTAGACAATAAAAAGTAACATGGAGATAAGTACTGAAAATAGGGTATATAGAATACGGACTGCTGGGTAGTAAATGGACCCATTATTTTATTAGAGTATTCAAATAATGTGTCATTTAAAAGGTGGTATCTGTGTATAAAAAAGCTGAAGGAAATGAAAGTAAGCCTGTAGACACCTGAGAGAAGAGCATAATAAGCAAAGCAAAGGCCAAGTACTACAAAGGCCCTGATGTCTTCAGCCTGGTGTACTAGAGATAAAGCGAAAAGGGCAGTGTAAGCAAAGTAGAGAGACTGAGGCAATAATAGTGGAAGACTTGAGGAGAGAAGGAGCAATGGACTAGATCATGTAGGTCTTGTGTGACCAAAGGGTAGGAGCAGGGGGACTACTGCAATCTGTACAGCAAGGGATGATGAGAGCTTTGGACCAAGGTGGTAGTGATGTAGCTGGTTAAAAGTGGTAGGATTCTGGACATTTTAAAGGTGGAGTCAATAGGATTTGTAGGATAAGGGCTGAGAGAGAATGAAAAGCAAGAAGGATAGTTTTCAGGTTTTGTCCTGAGCAAGTAGAAGGATGGAGTCACTATTTAAGATGGGGAAGACCAGGTCTGGGAGGGAAAAATCAGAAATTAGATCGTGGATAAGCTGGATTTGATATTCAAGTACAGACACTTGGATACATGACTGTAGAGTTCATGGGATTATAATGAACAAGAAATATATATCTGGCAGTCATTAACTTAGAAACATTATTTTAAAGTGATGGGACCCATATGCTGTGAGAATGGACTGAGTAGAAATTGGTTGAAAAATGAAACTCTAAAGCACTCTAAAGTTAGAAAGATCCATTATGGGAGACTGAGGTGCCAGTAATAAACTAGGACAAAAGCCAAGAGAACTAGAACAAAAACTAAGTGAGGCAAGTGTTTCAAGAGGGAGCGATCAACTGTGTCAAATGCTGCTGATAGGTCAAATGAGAGGCGGCCTAAGAAACAACTCCTGAGTTTAGCAATACTGGCAAGCACTGGTGTCAAAGATGGTTTTGGTAGAATAAGGGTGGTAAAAGCTTGATTAGCCGGATTTAAGAGATAATGGGAGGAATGTTTTCATATTAGATACTTGAAAACAGCAAAATTATTTTAATTATCTATACTAAAATACCATTCTTAATTTCTATTTCAAATTCAAAACCAACCAAAAACAAGAACATATTCAGCATTAGAAGCTTTACAGGGGACTACCCAAAGATTAAAAGATTGAGACCATTCATTCAAAGAGATTTATATACTCCCACTTACCAGTTCTATTTTCAGTAAAGTAACATCTATCAAAATAGTAAACTTCTGGACAGCTGCCAGTCCTTTTAGGAGTGCAATCACCCATGTATCCACGTGCTGAGCCAATGGCCAGGATAGCCAGTCAATCATTCTGAAAATTGAAAAAGAAAACTATCAGTCTTGAAAATGTTTTCAACATCTTTTAGTTGGGAATAATAAGAGTTACAGTAGACAACCTCTCCCTTTGTGACTCAATATTTACTGAGCTGGCTTGTGAAAAGCACTGTTCAAGATGCAAAAATAAGTATAAAGGTGCTTGTACTCAACGAGTTTCCGAACTTGTAAGAAACTAACAGTTTCTTACATATTTCAATAAAAAGAAATTCTGATAAAGTGTCATTTCACATAAATGCAGTTTTAAGTTGACTCTACACAGTGCTAACTAGAATTTATTAGGCAAATTTACCCTAAGAAGAAGAGCTCAAATGTAGCTACTGAATAAGATATATAGAAACAAAATTTTTCCTTTCTGGTGATTGCAGTCTAAAAATGAAATGCACTGTTAAAACTGACTATTTTGAATTGAGAAATAGGTCTTTTTATCCCTTTCATTATCCTACTATACCAAGACAAAGAAGGAAGCTTTACATAGATAAAAGGGCACTGAATCTGTAAATACACTAAATGGCCTCATACTGAATTAATCAGTGTTCTTCTTGAATATCAACCCAGTTTAATGGAAATAAAGACAAAATAATATGGGGTGTGATGGAGACTGTCCTTAATGTTTAATATCAATCACATTAAAGAGCAGTACAACTGTTTTGATCCAATAATCCAGTTTTGGGGATTACATAATAAGAAAATAGTAGCAGGAAAAAAAAGGCTTTTAAAATCAGAGTGATCTGGTTTCAAAATCTTAACTTAACATTTATTAGTTGGGGGGGCCCTAATATCTATGTCTCAATTTCCTTATCTATGGATTATAGATAAACATGTTTATTTTACAGGGCTGATTTGAAGACTACATGAGTTAATATATGACACTGGAAATACTCATTGTGAATGCCTCTCTTCTACCAAATATCAACACATAAGGCAATAAATAAATAACTGAATAAAATGTCAAACATAAATACTAAGTACAAAAGCACATGACCAAAAAGAGCAACTAATATCTTAAAAAAACTGACTTCAAAATTGGTATGGTTATTTTCACAACAGCTAGTGTTATAACCATCTATATTAACACTGGAGTGTTATCTTCTTTTTTAAAGTTTTTGCTCTTAAGATTAAAATGTTCCATCAGATGTTAAGAGTAGCCCAAAGTCCAAATGCATGTTAGTTATCTATATGTTCCTTATGTTTCCTATTTTAATTTTTTAAATCCATATTTTATTTCCTTTCTTGTTTTTCTGGCCATCTCCTTTAAACAATGATGGTTACAAATCGTTAAAATAGCCTCTGACAGCTGTTCCACATATTCTAACTGTTGTTAAGTTGATTTTCATAAAAGTTTGTAGCCACTCTACATATAGGGAGTAGAGAGACACTTGTATTGGTGTATAAAGAGTAAGTTCACTGTTGCACTGTATTTAGGATATGGAAAAATGCAAATAATCTAAATGTCCATCAATGAGGGAATGGCTAAATATACTATGGAACATTATGTAGAATTTTATTCCTTTTTTTTTTTTTAAACTTAGTATTTTTTTTTAAAGATTTCATTTATTTATTTATTTGACACACAGAGAGAGATCACAAGTAGGCAGAGAGGTAGGCGGAGAGGGAGGGAAGCAGGCTCCCCGCTGAGCAGAGAGCCCGATGTGGGGCTTGCTCGATCCCTGGACCCTGAGACCATGACCTGAGCTGAAGGCAGAGACTTAACCCTTAACTGAGCCACTCAGGAGCCCCTAATTTTAAAGAATGAGATGGATCTATATGCATCTATCCGTGGGGATCTAACATGGAAAGATCTGAGATATTGTTCAATTAAAGAAGAAAAAGAGTGCCAATAACTCTTCTAAAAACTATTCTTGTTTAAAAAAATCATGCTGGACACATTTCATATTTTTTTGGTACAAATATGCACACATACAAAAATGTGATCCAGAGAAGTATATGTGAGCACATCTCCTTGGCTTTGTGGACTCTGTCCCGTGTGGGGAATGGTACCACCAGAGTAGAAAGAAACTGGGCTCTCCAGAACAGGGGGCCTTGGGCCAGAACTCCCTTTAGCTCAGGTCTAAGAGTAGAGTAGAAAATTCCATTTGGCCATGGTTCTGCATTATACCTAATCACCCAATCAGCTTTTTCCTCTCCTTCCCATTTCTAGCTTCCCATCTCAAAAGCCTTCACTCTTTACCTTATCCCATATGTCCACAATGTCCTCCAGCATACTAAAGAAACTTCCAGTCAAAAGTAAATGAATAAGAAGCCATTCACTCAACAAATATTTGAGTGCCTATTCTATAACAGTTACTCTGTTAAGTGCTGAAAACAAAGTAATTACAATTTCTGCTTTCAAATTGGTAAGAAAAATTAGGAATTTTGTCAACAGTTATACAATTAATAAACAGCAGTACTGGTGTTTGAACTAAGCTCTGCTGGTGTATAAATGCAATGCTTTGAGCTACACGTTAATTATATTCCAGTTCTGCTTCAATTTGATTGGACTTGCATGTGCCCAAATCCTTTCAGGCACTGGTATTGTAGGATGAGTTATTTTTATGATTAACTACACTAATTTTGTCCAACATATATTGGTTTCTACATTTAAGAATTTTAAGGATACTTAACCCTGATATATTGAGTTAATTTCTTACTATTTAAAAAACATTGATTATAGTTATAATTTATGTACTTTGAAATCTTCTTTCCTCCATTAGATCATGAGCTTAAGAGCAGTGATCTTGTTTTTTTTTTTTTAGCCTTTAATTTATGGATCTCCAGTACTTAGCATAGTGTTTGGAGCTGAGAAGGAATTCAAATTTGATGAATAAATGAAACCATTCAAGTTGCAAAAAAATGCAACTTGAAAATCTTAACATTAAAACTGGCAATATTACAAAAGACAAAAAATAGATTTATTCTTAATTTGTAGAGAATAAAACCAATTTTCACTTTTAGATGGCACCTTCATGGCCAGCCTCAGTTTACCTTGTTCCACTGTTTTAAAAATTGGGAAATTTCACATAAAAAACTGGATCACAGGCTTTTGAAAAATCAGATCTGCCATACTGAATTCAAATTTCCTTATGACAACAAGAAAACTGGAGTTGAGGATCAGCATTCTCTTTTAGAAGGTGCTTATGTACCCCATTCCTTATTATTTCACTTACATCTGGCTAATCTCATACTTTAATGTTACTTATCTGTTTCTGGTATGGTATTTGCATTTCTTTAGATTACAGAAAATAACAGTTCAAGCATAGTAAGTGCTATGTGTGGGGAAATACAGACTATGAGGAAGGAGAAGGTGGGAGTATGATAAAAATAAACACTGCTATCCTGTTGAGTTACATCTGTAATATAAGAATAACTACTTCAGGTAGACTATGGGTTAAACAGGATCATACAGGATAAATTAAAAATGCAGTACTTTTAAAAAGTGGATCACAACTTCCCACAGAAACAAATAGGCAAAAATTAACTACCAAATATATTTTAAAAACAAGACAAATTCAGAAGTTGAATACCATGGCTATTTTGAAAAGGTTGAAAAATTAAGATGAAAAGTGCCAACTGCCAAGAAATGGAATTTGCACTTGATTTAGTCATGGGTGGAAGTCACTGCAGTTTGTTAATCAGAAGGGAGAACTGAATAGATCAGGATGACTTAGAGAAGAGAGAAGTATAAGTCACTGTTGGCAAAAAGACCAATTAGAAGACTCTGCTGCAATGACTTATGGCATGTAATGAAAAATGTTAGATATTATTACCTAGGCAATGAAGGTGACAGACAAACGGATTTCTAATTTCACTTTCAGCTATGAAATATATAATTCTCTGAATCTTCCTATTTTATTTAAGGACAACATAATTTATGATATCTTCATCTCAAAGAGAAAGAAATTTTAGTGCTGTTGAGGTCACACTTACAGTGGAGTGTTACTGCTAAACAGGACATATACAGAATTTCATTATGGAGAGATGGATGAGATAGGAGTCTTTCTTTTCTTTTTTTTTTTTTTTTTTTTTAAGTAGGCTCCACGTCTAGTGTGGAGCCTAATGTGGGGCTTGAACACACAACCCTGAGATCAAAACCTTAGCTGAAATCAAGAGTCAGAGGCTCAAATAACTAAGCCACCAGCTGCCTTGGTAAGAGTGTTTCTTAAAATTAAAAGTAAACAAACAGTGAGAACTTTACATAAAGACTTGGAAATCAACCACATATAGAAAGGGAAAAGGAAAAATAAGAAGAACAATATGAAGAAAATCCTAACAGCATGGTGTCACAGGATTTCTATAATTTTAAGGACTATGAATACAAAGATATCAAGATGATGAAAACAAAAATACAGACCACTAAATATGGCAAGGAGATCACCATAAATTGAACGTAGTAGAGATAGAGGCCATAAAGCAGGAATAACATTTATATAGATCTATGGAAGTTTGAGAGAATGAGAAACAAGAAACTGAAAGTAATAGTTATAGCTAAATTGATTCAGTTAAATTTAAGAGTGCAAGGAAAAATGAAGGAAAGCTGGAAGAGAAGGGTCTTTTCGAACACTAAACAAAAAGGGGGAAAAAGTGGAAAAAAAATCCATGTCCCCAAAGTTTGTGTTATAGATAGTGAGATTTGTATACATGTAGCTTTCTGAATATCCAACATAAATACTTAAGTTTCTATGTCATGACTACAACTTTGTAACAGGTACACAGAAATTATTTTGTTCCAAATCCTTATATTTTATTTAGATGTGCCACATACACATGCACAAATGTGTACACTGTAGAAAAAAATTACAAAAAAATTCAGGCAGATGTGAAACAAAAATAGGTAGAGGAGGAAAGCTCGATTAGAAAAATAATCACTGAGGGGCACCTGGGAGGCTCAGTTGTTAAGCATCTCCCTTCGGCTTAGGTCATTATCTGGGAGTCCTCGGATGGAGACCCACTTTGGGCTCCGTGCTCAGCCAGAGGCCTGCTTCTCCCTCTCCTACTCCCACTGTGTTCCCTCTCTCGCTGCGTCTCTGTGTCAAATAAATAAATAAAATTTTTTTAAAAAAGAGCAGAGGTTGAGGTTTTAAAGAAAAATAGAGTCACTGAAATAAAGAAATTCAATTGCTGGAATAAGCCCTATAAAAGGGTACCTCTGAAGAAAAAAATCAGTGAGTTGTAAGACGATATTGAAGTTCTTCCCCTTCGATCTCCACAGGCTTTGCTCCCTCTTTTATGTCTTTACTTCATCTTCATGTTCTCATTGAGGCCTTCCTAACCCACCTAATTTAAAATTGCAAACCAATCTCTCATACTTTATGTCCTTCCTATCTACTTTTTTCCAAAAACAGTTATCACTATTCAAATACTAAATTATAATTTTAATTATCATATTTAATAAAATCTAAAACAAAATTAATTTTAGGATGTATAATTAGTTTATGTACCACTAAGGCAGGAAAAGTCATGCCAATTAGATTAGAATACCAAGTGACTGTATATTTCCACATTTTAACATCTCTGAATTTAGAATGCATCTTGCAATCAAAGAGATATGTTACTAATTTACTGTCTTCTTCTTCATCTAGAAACTAAATCCATGAAGACAGATTTTTTTTTATCCATTTGTTCAAAGAGGTTTTGAAACACTGCCTAGCACTCATGGTAAGTTAAGTGTCTATAAATATGGTTTGAATAAATGAACAAATGAATTAATAAAAGCATGAAAATGCTGAGGATTAATATATTTAATTTGCACCTAGAAATATAAGAATAAACTGAAAAACATCAAGAGACATAAACGTTACCAGAAAAGCCTAACTACTCACAAAGGAATGACAACTGGATTGACAGCAGACTCCATATCAGCAACAATAAATGCCAGAACACAGTGCAGTATTATTTTCAAAATGCTGAGAAAATGACTATTAAATTAGAATTCTGCATTTTACCCAATCATCTATTTAAGAATAAGGAAGAAAAAACACATTTTAAACAGACTAAGGTAGAGTGTATTATCCAGAGATTCTGATTGAAAGAGAAAGTAAAAGTATGTACTTAGCTTAAAAAAACAAAAAACAAAAACCCAGGGAAAACAGGTTGCAGGAACCACAATCAGTAAGTAAATTAGTAAAATATACTGATAATCCAACCAATTCCTTACTGTACAGTAAGTCTACTCATGTGTATATTTTTGGAATTAAAAAAAGCTGAACTGAAAATGGACTTTGAATTACTAGGAGACCTGTCAAACCTAGATAGTAAGGTAAATAATTCATTCCAATTAATTTGGAGAATATGTATTTCATTCTATGATTTCAGTTTAAACATCAAAGTTTTTCATTACCCACAAAATACAATAAAGTATTTCCTCCTCCCAAATCTACAACACCATCTACAGTGTCATGAAGAAGTACCTGCAAAGAGCTTGGGTCATACTTGCATCTTTTACATTTGGATCCGTAGTTAGGCTCCTGATGAGAACTGTAATCATCTGAAGAGGAATATGCTGCACAAGGCTTGCCAATGCTACAGAAGGTTCAAATGATGTATCTATTTTTTTAATTAAAAAGAAAAAGGGATATGGCAAGAAGGTTCAAGTGAAGTATTTAGAGAGAAACAACAATTTACAAAAAAAAAAAAAATGTATTCGCAGCAAAGGTGTTACTCAGGACAAGCTGTTATGCTCTACCTCATGGGCAGGCTAACATCCAAGGAACGTTAAATTACAGAAATGAGGGATGAAACGTGAGCAGCAATGATTGTTCATCATAGACAGAACTACTGCAATATAAAAACTACTGTTCACTATCACCATATTCAGCTCATAAGTTACTTTATTCTCCTGCATTAGTTAATATTAAGTCATATTAATATTAAGTTGTGTTAAAATATTCATTTGTAAGTCAGTAGTCAGAAAAGAAATTTTGGGTATCATTTAAATTCCCACTTTAGATCTTCCAAAGTAACTTATAACTATTAATTACAGTAGCCATTACATTGTTCTACGGAAGACTTAAAGGAAATCTCTTAAAGAAGTAAAAATTAAGGTGAATTTTGAGGGGACTTTGTTTAAACTATATAATGATTAAGCAAATTCAAGACAAGTTCCTTTACTGCTACTGTTGAAGAAGTTCTGGGGAAATCTAACAGTTCTAGCAACACAGGTAATAAAAGAAAAATTACAATGAAAAAATAAGACAACTCAGATACTGCAAATATTTAGTTGACTATTCTTTCCTAAACATAATTAATTCATCAGAATATACGGAGCTTGTTAAAACTCTACTCTTATTTCTGGTTCCCAAGATAAAAGACACCTCCTTCACAAGTTCAATTTCAAATAGCCAAGGAGAATGGTTGTACCAAGTAGAGAGGAAAGGAACACAGTTTTGGGTCTATTGTCTCACAGCTTACAGAGCTGAAAGCTCCAAGTCCAAAAAAGGAATGTAAATACAAGGTAAAATTCCTGGTGAGAAAGCATTTTCTTGCCAATTATCACTTGACTCCTTCCCACTTTCTAAGGATGTAGTTCCTGGGCTATATACACTGAGCACAAAAACATCTATTTAAGTCCTCATAGTCTTTCCCTCCTTCTACCTATACCCTCTCTCTCATACACTACTGTAGAGAAAAAGTCAATATGCAAAAACTACATAGTTGAACTGTGATAATCCAGTAATAAAACAAACCACACAGCCCATGAACAAAAAAGTGGGAAAATTAAAAAACAGGAGAAAAACTTGTAACGACAAAATGACAGAGTCGCAGTACAATAATAATATGGTAAACATGATTATGCTATCATTAGTCACTAATGAATAGAAGCTTTATTTAGTCGCTGTCATCCTCAAAGCATTCCATAACTTCAGCAGAGGCTAGGTAATTAAGCAACTTACTCAGTGCCAAAGGTCTTAAACCTCAATGTTTTCAACATTTAAAATAGGAACACTGCTCCCCCCCCCAAAGGTACAAAGGGACACCCTAAATACGGAAGTTGATGAGAATAAAACTTTGGATGAGGGTATTAAGATTTGTTCTCCATTAAGAATGTTTTCAAGGCAGAGAAGCAAACATGGTGTGTGTCTAAGAGACATACTGAATTTCCAAGAGAGATTTTTCTGGAATATAATGACACTTACCTGTGGAAGAAATGCTTGCAAAAACTTCCTGCAGGGAAGGCAGGAGTGTGGAGGGCTCGGCCTTCCAGATGTTCTGCAGCAAGTTACTCACTTTTGTCACCTGAGAGACATATTCCCGCAGCTCCTTCTCCTGGGTGGACACGCACTGGAAATGGCCTATCGTTCGAACAAGCTGTTGACAGAAGGTGATGGACAATTTTCCCTTGGGGATGCACTGCACGAAGTCGGTCAGGAGGTCGCTCAATCGGGCACACAGCTGCGGCTCCGGCCTCTCACATACCATACGTAACACCTCTACTTGCAGCAGGCTGAAGAGGTCCAGCACCGATGGGCAGCTCATGATCAGCTTCAGGCCATTGTGAATGTAGTCCAGAATGGCTACGTCCTTCCTGTCCAGCGAGTGGTAGCCCTGCTGAAGGAGGCCCAGCACGAACGTTTTGTTGAAGAAGGACTCGAATTCTGGCCGGTGGTATCGTGCATAGGCCTCCAGCACTTGGTGCCCCACCTGCCGCTGAAAGGGGTCTTGGCCCTCCAGGATGAGCCGGGTGGTCAGGTCAAACATGGCTTCACACTGCGCCTCGTCTAGCCAATGCTCCGCCGATTCCACCACCTTCCGCACAATCACCCGCTTTAGGGGCAGTGGGTGCGAAGAACTCACCAGGCCCTCCAGGATCTTGTCCATTGTCGCCAAACTGCAAGGCCGGGGCTGGGGGATTAGGAGCGGGGAGCGACAGTTCCGACGTGGGGCAGGAGAGCCCCGCGGCACAGGTGAACTTGGAGCGCCGCAGCAGCAGCGGGACCGACCACCGCCACCGCAGTCTCAGCAGCCACATTTATCAGGCAGAGGGGCCCATCCAAGCCCGGGCGGGAGGTGGCAAGCCTGGGGAGCGTAAGAACCGGCAGCGCCCGCGGCGGGCCTAGGGAGCCAGAGGCTCGCACTCCGCCGCCGCCCCGGGCCCACGCTCCCTCTCAGCATCAGCGCGGAGCGGTTGGCGAAGACCCCCGGCGGCGGCGGTCACTTAAGGCCCGTGGCTGTCCCCCAATAGGTGGAGGAAGCGCGACTTAGCGTCCCGAGGCAGGTGTGGACGTCCGGGCTCAGCAGGTCGTAAGATGATACCAGCCTTAGGTTGAGTCAGAAGCCGCTGTCACTGAAAGTGCCGGGTCAGCCCCGGAGAAGATGAGGAGGCGAACCCTCCTTGCCCCGGATTCAGAAGTTCCCGCAAACAGGAAGTGAAAGACCTTTCCCTCCGAAAAGGCCCGCCCTCCGGCCCTACAGCCCTCGGGCCCTCCGCCCCCCCGCCCCCACCTCTCTGTCCACCTCTCCCCCTCCAAACCCTCCCCCACTCGCGGCCACCCTCCAGGCTACGCTCCAGCTGCCTTCCCGCCCCTCCTCGCCTTGCCCCGCCCAGCTCCTTCGCAGCTGCGCAGGTGCGGCCGCCTCCAGTGGAGTCGCTCGGCGACACTCGCGTCATTGGGAAGCGTGTGTCGAGTCACAGGCGGTTTTCTGGCAGGTGCGGCCGGGAGCGGACGCTGAGGAAGTGACCACGATTTTAGTATGCCCACCTTCGGAACTCTGTAGGTTCTGTGCCGGTCAGGCTGCTCGTGAAAGCCTGAGGAAGTGCTATTTGTGTAAAATTTTGTGAAAACGTTTTGGAAACGAGAGAAAAACATTTGGGGAGTAAGTAAGGAAGAGAACTCAAAACTGTGATTGAGAAGAAATGGTTTAGGTCTTGGCTCCTTCATCGAGAAATGAGCTAAGGCTCCTAAATGTGAGTGCCTTCAGTGTTGTGGTTATTAAAGTAAGAACTGTACTGGCAGTTGCGTGCGTTTAGTGAGGGCCAGTATGGGTAGGGATTTGTGTTGTCAAGCCTCTAAGTATCTTTTTAGTGAGCTTTTGGGTCATATTGAAAAACTAAAAGGTGTCCAGACAATGGAAGAGTAAGGAAAAGGTGGCAGGTGAGAAAGAATGAAAGGTATATATTTGCCTATGTCATCTCGAAGAGTACTTTGAAAATAGAAAACCAGGTGAAAATTTCAGTGTTTAATATCTCATTTTGTTGCACTTCACGCGCTAGAGTAAATAGTGGTTTGCCGATATTGGTTTATGAATTGAAGGCTTGTGGTGACCTTGTGTCAAGCCAGTCTGTTGGCGCTGTTTTTTGAACTGTATTTGCTAATTTTGTGGCTTTGTCACATTTTGGTTTTTGTAATATTTCAGACTTTTTAGTAATTACTTGTGAAGGTAATCTGTGAGCAGTGATGATGATTCACTGGAAGCTCAGATGATGGTTAGCATCTTTTAGCAATACAATACTTTTAAATTAAGGTATGTAGTTTTTTAGACATAAAGCCATTGCACATTTAATAGACAACGGTATTGTGTAAACGTAGCTTTTAGATGCCCTGGGAAACCCCAGAATTCATTTGACTCTTGTGATACTTACTTGGTACTACAGTGGTCTGGAACTGAACCTACGTTATCTCTGAGGTATGCCTTTATGCGAGCATGCTGACATTGAAGATGGTTTACAATAAACAGCTACAGTTATGCATGTACTTTTTCAAGTTCAAGTCCAAAGATTTGCACTAAGAATATAGCCTTTAATTAGAGGCCTTTACATTGGAAAGAAAAAGAGCATAATTATAGCCCCGTTCAGCTTTAGCTAATATAGTTAAATAATAGTTGTGAAATTAGGCATAAATGGCCTCTAATAATGACAAAACTTAAATGGTTTAAGGTAGAATAGAAATAAAATAGAAATATTTTCCAATAGAAAAATGAATAAAGTTGTATGTTTTTCTCTTACCAATTTACAAAATGATTACACCAACATATTTAACATGCCAATTGTGGTAATCATAAGAATAGCAGTTTAGATGAGAAAGGAACCAAGTAGAGTAAACTTTTGGACTGAGTTTGTAGGAAGAAATTGAAGATAAAAGAGAAATAAGGCAGTCGATGAGTCTAAAAGACAACCATGCTAGAGCACAGGAATAACTTTGGAACTTTTCCTTTTCAAATAGAGGGTAAAACTACAGAGGAAGGTTGTACTTTACTGGGAATGGTGCCGTATTGGAAGACGAAAATAATATAAAAAGTGAAACATTAAGAGGAATGAACGGTAGGCCTGTGAATTTGAGGAGTAGCAGAGATTTGGAATTAGCCTTAGTTAAGGATTTGCTAGGTAGCCAACTGAAGATGATTGAAGATTGCTGAATAACAGGAGTGAAGTAATTACTCCAAAATATGGAAAAAAATACTGGTTAGTTAAAAACTTAACAGATCATTAATAACATTTCTTTCTGTTAATATTCTCTCTTGAGAAATTGAGTGTTGTAAAATAAGATGTCTGAGAGAACATAGTGCAAGTTGTTCTCAGTCTGCATAACACAGATAACATAGTTTCATGCTATCAGGCTTCCAAAAGCACCATGACTCAGTCTTTTTAAAGTATTTCTTGAGTGATAGATGCATGAAATAAAATATCTAGTAGGTTTTTATGCTCAAATAGTCAAAGCATGTTTTCCTATATTGCCATTGGTTAAAAAAAAATGTACACAATATGCTGTTCTATTGTTTTAAGATTTCATTTGAAAGTGATTTTACATAATTGATTTTTTTTTAAAGATTTTATTTATTTATTTGACAGAGAGAGATCACAAGTAGGCAGAGAGGCAGGCAGAGAGAGAGGGGGAAGCAGGCTCCCCGCTGAGCAGAGATCCCGATGCAGGGCTCGATCCCCGGACCCTGAGATCATGACCTGAGCCAAAGGCAGAGGCTTTAACCCACTGAGCCACCCAGGCGCCCCTACATAATTGATTTTATCTCACAACTAAAAGTTATATACAGTACCATGTTCTTGTTCAACATCTTAAAATATTTTCAAAAGTCTGTGGAAAGGTTTTGCTGAAGTGTGTTCTTCCCCAATCATTGAATTAATAGGTGCTATTGCTACAGGCTTTAAAATTTTGTATAAAATTTTACTCTAAGACTCCAGTTATGAATTAAATAGTTTTAGAAATATCTTAAATCTGAAAGTAGGAGCTGTGATGGGGGTGAACAAGAAAAAGCTCAGGATAGGGAAATATCATTTATTAAACACCCTCTGTTTTCCTGGGACTCAATATAGTATACTTTATTCTTAGTTTTCAAAACAGACTTTGGAAGTAGACATCAGTGGACACATTTTACAGACAAGGTCATGAAAGCACCAGAGGTTAAATAAATAGCTATTAGTTGAGAAGTGTGTGTGCATTTATATATTTGTGATAGGCAAAGAGGAAAGACATTTTCAAAGGCATTGGTTAGAGTTGGCCAACTGCAACACCACTACTATGAGATTATGAGATTATTTATATTTCTCTATAGAATCAAAAGCAAACTCATTGTGTAGATTAGAAAGAACTGTGATTAATAAATCATCTTGTGAATAATTACTAATAATCACTTTATGCATTTTATGTTGATGTACATTTTTTAAATTAAAAAGATGGAAAGAAATATACCGATCACTGGTATGGTGGGGTGATATTTTTTATGATTTCAATAACGTACACCAAACTTAATCTAACAACTTTTATACTTGATCTTAGCCAAAAGGCCGAAAAGCAATTCCCTAACAACTTTTAAAACTGTCAGTGCTTCCTAACTTATTTAGAATAAAATTCAAGCGATTCAAGTGCCTACTATTAACTGCAAGACTTTACATGAAGTAACTCTTGAGTCATTTCCTACTACTCTCCTCCTTACAATGTGAGCGAGCCACACTGGCCTTCTTATGGTTTCTTCCTCAGGTCATCCTCTTTCAGGTCTTTGGGCATTTGTACTTACTGAAATTTTCTTCTCTGGCTACTATAATTTAAATCTGTTCAAAAGTCATCTCCTCATATGGTCAGTTATAGATTATCTACCACTCTATTATGTTACTCTGTTTATTTCTTTATAGTACTAAACCATCATGTGAAATTAACTTAATTGTTATTTAATTGATTGCAGTCTTTTTCTTTCCTCTAAAATCTAAGCTCCATGAGGTCAAGAAACTCTAATTTTCTCAGTAACCTCCATATCTAGTAGTTAGAACAGTATCTGGCACAAAGTAAACAACCTAATAATTTATTGAACAAACGAACTTATTATTTTTTAACAAAATGAAGGAATTATTTTAAAAATTCCAAGAAATCAGCAAAATAACTTAAAGTGAGTTCAGCAAGTTCTCAGAATACAAGATAATAGACAAAAATCAATTATACTTTTATATACTAGCAATGAACACATAGAAACCAAAATAAAAAATGTAATACTATTTACAGTCACAACAAAACAATTTAGGTTTAAGTTTTGTACATCTGATCTTAGCCAAAAGGCCGAGAAGCGATGGGTTTAAGTTTTGTAAAACATGAGCAGGACTTACACTGAAATCGACAAAACACTTATGAAAGAAATAAAGGAAAATATAAATATATAGAGATGCGTATTGTGTTCATGGATTGGGAAACTCATAGTAAAGATGCTAATTGTTCCCCAGCCGACGTACAGGTTTAACATAATTCCTATTATAATCCCAGCAAGATTTTTTTTTGAGATACAAGAGTATTCAAAAATTCAAAAATATGGAAAGGCAAACTGAAATTGTAACAATAATTTTGAAAGAAGAGTTAAGTGGGAAGAATCACTTAACCCAAATCTAATACTTACTATATATTACAGTAATGAACAAAATGTGGTACTGGTAGAGGGATAAACACATAGATCAGTATAACAGGTTAGACTACCCAGAAATAGACAGACAACTGAGTTTTGGCAAAGATGCAAAAGCCATTCAATGGAGAAAGGGTAGCTTTTTCAACAAATGGTGCTGGAGAAATTGGATATTTATAGGCAAAGAAAAAACCTTGACCTAAACTTCACACCTTATACAAAAATTAATTCAAAATGGATCATAGATTTAAATGTAAAACATCAAATCATAACACTTTTAGAAGACATAGGAAAAAATATTTGGGATCTAGGGCTTGATGAGAGTACTTTGACGTAATACTAAAAGCAATCAATAAATTGGACTTCATCAAAATTAAAAACCTTCCCCAGTGAAACCTTCCCCTGTTAAGAGAATGAACAAACAAGTTATAGACTGGGAGAAAGTATTTGTAAACCAGATATCTGACAAAGACTTATATCTAGAATAAAGAACTCAGGGAGTTCAACAATAAAAGGCTTTTGTGTATCTGATGATACTATCAAGAGAGTGAAAAGACTAAACATGAAATGGGAGAAAATATTTGCAATAAATTGGACTTCAACAAAATTAAAAGCTTTTAAAAAA